TTAAACTATTTTTTAAACGCGTAGATTTGTAAGACAACCTTTTCTGCTCAAAATGAGACAGACATAGCACAATTCTGTATGACATTCTGTTAAAAAGTTATAAACATTTTACTATGAGTCCTAAATTGTACTAACGAAACGACAATATATGGCGTTTCTTTAAATCGTTTTTCGAGTTTTAGCTGTTCGTACGGCAAGGATCTTTCTGTAATTTTAAGTGCTAAAAAACTTGAAATGGTCTCAAAATTGAATGGGTTGGACAGAGAAAATGACGCCACTTTGCAACTCATCCGTTGGCTAGTCATAGCAACTTCTAAAACTTCGTTCTGAACTTAAAAAACGTAGAATTTTCTGTAGTTTCTAGTGCTGTGTTTAGATTAAAATGTATCTTCATAGAAGTTTCGGTCACGCGATTTAAACACGGTACTAAAAACTACAATAAATTCTTAATTGCTAGAGCACAAGACCATATTTTTGGACAAAGTATTAGAGCCGTAAGAACAAGCTACAACAATTGGGTCATTATTTATGTTTGGCGCTATTCCAGAGATGGACGAGTGCGAGTACACTCGAGTACAACTTTTTGGATACTTGTACTCGTACTCGCGACTTTTTTCAAACAATACTCAAAAAAGTACTCGATCCAAAGCCTTTATAATCTACTATGGATTGCCGAGAAAAACAGTAGATTCTATTCTAGAATTGTAGTGTAATCCTATAAGAAAAGTGCATGGTGTAATCAATATGAAAATATTAACGTTGACTTCATATACACAGGGTTGTGCATAACCTTTTGCTAGGGGGGTACAGCTCCAACGACACATGATACAAAACTGAATTATATATCAAATGAAAGCTGCTCGAAAACGGGATTATCAAGTATAACTGGTAATCCATAGGTGGATTATGAGCTATAGAATTATCAGATACGCACATATCTCAGAGAATCCAAGCGCGTGTCTCAAGAAAGTTACGCATCGTATCTTCCGCGTTTTCCAGTGGTTTAAAATTCATTTTTTACAACCTGCTATGAGAAGTTTTGTTTTGCCAAATAACCAAATAACAACAAAGTGCATTTTCAACAATGTGCCCAAGCAAAAGATGGAAAACGTGATCGAAGTTTTGATTTTGCAGTTAGGTAGGGAAGAGCACTCATTTCTGATCAAAACAAAACAAAGGCGATGGAAAAAGCTTTTGTTCTAATGAAGTTATGGGAGTTTTACTGAAAGCACCACTATACTCAGAATTGACGCACCCGCTAGAAACTTCCATAATTCTATAGCTCATAATCAACCTATGGATTACCAGTTATACTTGATAATCCCGTTTTTGAGGAGCTTTCATTTGATATATAATTCAGTTTTATATCATTTGTCGTTGAAGCCGTATCCCTCCTAGCAAAAGGTTATGCACAACCCTGTACTTCATACATTTTTTCTCTTTATAAAAAACTTGTGCTCGAGTAAATTTGCCATGAATATTGCCACTCGTATCTGCCATGAAATACTCGTACTCGTACTCGAAAAAGTGTTTACTCACCCATCTCTGCACCATTCCCTCTAAAGGAAAACATCCCTTGCCAAAACGATGTTCATTTTGTAGAGCTTGAAATTCTGTATCTTTTGATATAAAAACAACAATCTTGATAAGTCAAGACTTTGAAGAAATCTTCAAAATAAAGTACCATCGGGTCTGTCAACGATCTCTTTTTGCTGTTTTCCATTTTCCATTTTCGCTTATTTCCAGTAACAAATAAGCGTATAAGAAACCTTGACAAGGTAGCACCTAAAGGTGCTGAAAGATGGAACTCCCAGTACTGAGACGTCTAATCACGTTAAGAGGTTGTGTGCGGTATTTTAACAGGTTGTATCCTTCAGGGGGGTCAAATTTATCTTAAAAACAGCGGTTTTGGGGTATAAAACTATTACTCCCTCTTCTTCGAAGATAATGAGGGAGTTCCACAAAACAACACACCGCTAGATGCTTCGAAAAAGTCTGCGTCTTTTAGACCATGAACCAACTTTGCAAACAGGGAAAAAAGTGTATTTCGAATTTTTCTGATTCTGCAGTTGAGATTTTCGTGGCTATGACTATTTTTACTGTTGTAAAAGAACGGACATGCTTACGTTTAAAACAACGTATGAATAAAATCTAGACATAATTTTCTATCTTTTTTGACATAAAAATGAAGTTTTTTGATCAAGTTTAACTTAGGAAATTTTTTTTCAAAGTGGCGTCATTTTCGTTACTGAACCCGTTAGTCAAAATTTGGCTCTACCACTTAGCAGAGCCGAATTTGCGATTTTCAATCCAGCTCTTGAGAAAATGAAGTTTTTCAAAATGTTAATCAAAACGTTTTTGCATCTTTTTCCATAAAAGCTTTGAGAAAACTAAAGAAATGCAAGTTTGAAAAATTCTACTCTGTTAAGCTGTAGCAGCAAGTCTTGCCTTACATTTTGAGATCATCTCTGGTTTTTTAACACTTTAAATAGTGGAGAAATCTCTCTTCAACATACATTTTTTCACCCTTATTTTAGGATAACTCAAGGAAAACTCACTATTTTAGGTTCAACACTTTAGCATTATCCTTCTTCTAGCATAAGACATGCATTTTGTGGAAAATTTATCTAGATCGGATGTTCTTGAACAAAAATATGTGTTAAAAATAGTGTTTATCCACTTTCTCTTTAATGTAACAGAATGATTATTTTAATATTCATGAAACAAATCGTCGAATGTTTTGTCTGGACCATTTTCTCAAATAATTATTACTATAAATAGGTTTTTCGTTCATATCGTTATTTTTTACTAAAACTAACATATCCAATATATTCTTACACGGCGGTCTCAATGTAATATCTTTAAACACACTTAATGCCGATTTATTTCTTAAAAAGTGTGCACTTGCTAACCGACGGTTTTCAACGGTTGTATTTGGACGAATATCGAGAGATACTTTTGGCATTGATGATGTACGATATGAACGTACAGGTGCCGATGCATTTCTCAATTTTATTGAATAAAATGACATTGGATTATCTTTAAATGTTGTTGTTGATTGACGAGATAGACGAGATAGACGAGATTGAGGTACCATATCAACTATTTCATCATCGCCTGAATCATCGTGTTGATCTAATGGTTCTAAACTTTTTAAAAATTGTTCTAATTCTAAACGTTTTTGTTGAATATCTTGATTATAATGATGTATGAACATTGTTTTTTGACGTTTTAATTTTTGTAAACGCAAGTCTAACATTGTTGATTCATGCGTATTACGACGTACAATAAGATCACTGTATTCAATAAATCTCAACGATTTCTAAACAGAAAATAGAACAAACAAATATTTAACATTACTAAATAGTCAAAAATATCTGATACAGAATTGTTTTTTATCCTTTCATATATTTCTTATTTGACATCTTACTAAACGTTCGCTTGATTTCTGATCCGGATGCGGTTCGATTTTAAGATTTCCATATGAAATAGCCATAGTGAAATTTTGAAAGATCGCTTTTTTCTTAATGTAACAGAATGACGAGTATAGTAACGAGTGAAGAGTTTTTATACTATTATATCAAGTTTTGATATATTTCTTTTATTATTTTGTTTTAGTGAAATATAATTGTCATAAGCTCTTTAGTCACATCACTGCTTCGCGTGTAATTTTTTTTTTCAAGCAAATACACGCATAGCAATAATTTGCAGGAGATCGAATTTATTTTAATGAGTTATTTGACTTTCTTAAAAAAGCCAGCAAAATTTGTCTGACATTTTTACAGAAAAACTTATGCATTGAATGTCAAGCATTTAGTAGAACATCACGACAAGATAATTGCGGTACCAGAAAATGATATTGTTAGAAAGAACGAATAGCACCTGTATGAACAACGATGAATTTATTGATAATACACTTTGATAGTCAATACGTTAACAACACAATCCTTATGATTATTTCGAGAATAAAAAAGGCTAATATTTTACCTATTTGAAACGATACTGAAATCTATAATTCAAACGTAACAATGCTAGCAATATAGTTTATATCGAGTGTAAATTTGAATTTCAGTATCGCACACTCATTTCATGAGATTTCAATCATTACATCGTCGACTTTGAATCTTAACGATGATAAAGAAAGAAAAATATGGCGTTTCTTCTAAATTGGCGTACAAATGTGGACGATGTGTATGCAAAATTTTAATTGATTAAATATGAAATATGCAGCGATTATTTATAAATGAATCTGTTTTATTTTATTACAAAAGCACATGCATTTTATAGCAAACAGCGGCTACGTACCAACTGAGATATACATTTTTAATTTTGAGTCAAGATACTTGTTAAATTGGGTATTTCAGTTGGAAAATGGAAAAATATAAATAGAACTACTTTTCTTAACTGAGATACAATGAAATCACTTGATCAACATGCACTCGATATTGGATATTCTTATGCCCGTAAATGTTATTCATAGATGTGGTTTTATTATTCCGTGAAATAAGAGAATATCTGCAATTATTATTCGTACTCATTCAATGTTCAATACCCTTCTGAGACGCTCACAACAATATAAATTTTCTTTATTTAATATTGTTGATACATCTCTTTGGATTTTTTACGAACAAAATCTGAAATACCCAATGTAAAAAGTATCTTGATTTGGAATTAGAAATGTATCTTAGTTGGAACGATATGCAAACGGCTACACGGCTTGTCCAACTAACGGTCCCGTTATTGCAATAAAGCTACAAACTAATCTAAAATTGCAACTAGATAATTAAGTAGATTAAACATTTCTCTATAACATGAAAAGTGTCTCAACTCTGAACGTTGATTCTCTATGAAAATACAACTGTTGTACAAACAGCCCCAAAAATCGATCTGAGAGCTATCTAAAAAACGTGTCTAAAAGAGTGAAGACGAACAGGCAAAAATTGAACAAGTACATCAATTTGTAGAAAACTGTTTGCTCTACAAGATGTAATAGCTTGTCAAGTTCGAAACTATTCTGATTAATCTGTATTAATCAAAGAAAAACCAGAAAAATCTTGACGCTGTGACAAATAATGATCAAAAGCGGTGTCACGGTTTTTCTGATTTCTTTGATTAATACAGATTAATCAGAATAGTTTCGAACTTGACAAGCTATTACATCTTGTAGAGCAAACAGTTTTCTACAAATTGATGTACTTGTTCAATTTTTGCCTGTTCGTCTTCACTCTT